GTTATATGCATTGTAAATATGGTCTGTTTAAGGACTACTTTTCATTTTCTTAATGATGTCATTTAAAGTTCTAAATTTTGATGGAATCTCACTTATCAATGTTTTTCTTTTATACATCATCCTAGGAAATTCTTGCCTACCCTAAATTCATGAACATTTTCCCTTATAATTTCCTCTCAAAGTTTTATAGTTTTAGTCTTTCATATTTAGGTTCATAGATCCTTTCAAGTTATTTTTATGTATGGAAATAAAGGGTTTAGGTTAATTTTTTATATACGGATACCACGTGTTCTAGTGCCATTTGCTGAAAATACTATCTTTTCCTCTGCTCTTGAGTTGAGTTTATGTTCTATAAAATGTTAATGTTAAATAATCTTTCAAAAATCAGTGGATCATATACATGCGGTTCTCTTTCTAGATTCTCTGTTTTATTCCAATGATCTATATGTCTTTCCCTGCACCAACACTGCCTTGATTACTGCAGCTTTAGAGGAAGTCTTAAAATTAGGTACTAAACGTCTTCCAACACTGTTTTTTTCTTCTTTTTCTTTTTACTTTTCTAGGTCCTTGGTACTCCTACATAACTTTTAAATTTCAATATCCAATTCTTCATTTATGATAAGTATACATAGACCTGAATTTTTATGTATACCTTGTGTTTTCTAATCCTGCCAAATTCAAATACAAGTTATAGGGGCTTTTAGAGATTTCTTAGTATTTTCCCATTAGATGATCATTTCATCTACATATAAAGATTTTACATTTACCTTGCCAATCCTATGCTATTTATTCATTTTTATTGCCAGACTATTTTGCTTTGGGCCTATGTTTCAAAGTTTAATGGACAGATGAAGAGTAGGCATATCTGCCCTGTTCCCCACCTTAGCAAGAAAGCATTGTATCTTCTCCATTCATATAAGGCATTTTTGCTGGAAGTATGGAGTACATGTCTTTGATCTGTTGAGAAGATTCTCTTCTACTTCTGGTCTCCTGATAGCTTTTACCATGAACAGCTGTAGAATTTAGTCCAATAGTTTTTCTCCAACTACTGACAGGATCATATGGCATTTTCCTTTCCTCTGTTAAAATGATGACTTTTAGGGGTGGATCTTCCAATGCTGAACCAACACTGCCATCCCTATAATAAAACTTTCTATATACTGCCAGATCTGACTTCTAATAGTTTGTTTTGTTGAACAAATTTCTATCTCTGTTCATACTTTTTTCTTCTTTTATCTTTATCTAGTTTTAGGATTAGCACAATGTTGATTTCCTAAAATGAGAGGAGAAGTTTTCCTTCTTTTTTCTGCTTTAAATGTTTGATTATAATTTATCAGTTAAAATGTGTATGAGCCTGCTGTTGTCATATAGTAGGTTTTCATGCTAGGAATATCCTTTCTTTAATAGGTGCTATTCAAATTTTATATTTCCTCCAGAGTTAGTTTCATTAATTTGTCTTCCAAG